GTAGTCCTTGATTCCTTGTACATATATATTCCGTCCCGAATATGTTCAAAACAAGAAATATCTGTTCAACTTGCAAAAAAAAAATGAATAATATTAGATAATAAATGAAATTAATTAAAAATAGTTAGACAAGGATGTTACTTTGTAACTTACTTTCATGAGTTGGATGCCGGAAGAAATATTTCTTAGAATGATTTCTCTTTCTACAAAAAAAAAAATAAAAATAAGTATACAATTAAACAATTGTTTTTAAAAAAAATAATGTATCTTTTAGCATAAAAGTTAACTTACTTTATTTTTGGTAACTCCATGTATATGTCTTAGCCAATCACCCCCACAAAGTAAAGCTTGGGCTGTTTCAGGCAACAATAATGATGCACGATACGAATCAATTACCCTTGTCCCAGCACTAAATGTTGCTTCTGAAGCCACATTGCTAACAGGTATAGCTAAAATATCTGTTGTCATTCGAGACAATATTGGATACTGCAGTCTATGCATCTTCCACCAATCTAAAGAACAAAAGGTGTTTGGAACCTCAATAGTCTTAAGACGCGCTTTTTCTAGATAGTCTACTAACTCGGAATTTTTAGGCCCTGAAGTTTCAACTTGGGCACAAAATCCCTCAAAATCTTCCCAAACATATGTAGACTTTTGGCGGCTGACGTGACTCGTGAAAGCCAAAGTCTCTCTGCAGTCGTGATTCGGCGGCAACTGTCGAAGTCTCTCTACAGTCGACGAATAGCCAAACTGCCAAAGTCTCTCTTGAAATATGAAATCTCAAATTCTGAAAGCGCTAGAATTCTAGAAATTTTTAGGGCTTTTGAGTTTTGACTTTTGAGTTTTAAATTTTAATTGTTATTTTTATATATTTTAATTATATTATATTATATTATATATTATACGGCTAGCGAGCCGGCTCGACGAGCCACGAGCCTAGAGTATCTAGGCTCGGCTCGTGCTCGTTTATTTAACGAGCCGCTCAAGCTCGATTTTGACCGAGCTCGAGCCGAGCAGCTCGACTCATTTACACTTCTAGTACACTCAGTACAAAAATAATGTACACCCCCTGAATACAATGTACATTATTTTTGTACTGAATGCACATTATTTTTGTACTGAATGCACATTATTTTACAGTATATAAAATATGGTCCATACAACTTGTACGGACCATGTCCGCACAATAATGATTTTCCGCAGAGGAGAAGATAACAAATATGAGATGTAGACTACATGTTAGGGAATGGTGTTGCAATTTACATATGGGCTTTCATTGTATTGAGATGGCAACAGAGGGATTACGATTTTGGGCCAATTTTTTTTTTTTTTTTAAGTTAGGTTATATGCAGTTGTTATATTGTGGACAGTGGTGCACATGCATCGCGGGGGGTCAAAACGGCGCCGTTTCTTTAAGTAAAGAAACGGCGCGCTGTTAGTGTTAACAGAGCGCGCATTTTTTGTATATTAATTACCAAGTGACACTACAGTATATCTAAATCGATACTGCCTCACGTATTATTTTTATATTATTAAATGAAACTGCAGTTATATCAAAATGATAATGTAGTTGTGGTGAAATGAAAATGCAGTGTATATAAAATGAAACTGAATAATATTTCACATATTTGAGTGTATATTGTACAATGAAGCTGTAATTATATCAAAATGATCATGTAGTTGTGTTTTAATAAAACTATAGTTTATATAAAATAAAATTGAATTACATTTTCACATATTTGAGTCTATAAATATCGAATGAAACTGTAGTTATATCGAAATGAAACTGTAGTTGTGTTGAACTGAAACTGCAGTGTATACAAAATGAAACTGAATAACAGAGTTACTTTTTGCGAAAGGGTGCGAAACTGCGGGAAACGGATGCTGTTTCTTTTCATTAAACAAAACGACGTCGTTTTGATGCGCAGTGCATAATCAATTATGCACCGCGGTGCACGATATAATTTGCCAGTTATATGTGTTTGGACTGGAATTTATTTATTTAAATTTTATTTTATTATGTTTTTATATTAAAGTATAATTTTAAAATAAAATTATTCGTTTTCTATTGCAGTAATGTTTTTTTAGGTCAGAATTAATTAAAAATCATATTTATTTTGTTATGTTTTTGTATTTACAAAATTGTTTTTAAAAAAAGATTTTTTTTTATGTATTACACAATAAAAAATCAATAACTTTATTTTACAATTCTACTTTAATATAAAAACATAATGCTTTATTAAAATGTAAATTAAAATTGTTTGAGGTTTTTTGAATGCTACTGGCTCTATGACAATGTAATATCTGTTCATTTATTTTCTCAACCTACTGAAACACAAAGAACCAATAATGCCTACACTGAGGCTCAAACTCACAACCTTCCAAATGGAAGTCCAACCCAGGTACCATTAGACCACATAGTCTTTGTAGAAAATCAAATTGTTTGAGGTTTTTAGTATATCATGTAATGAAGTTTTCATGCTCAATTGATGTAGAAAATATTGATGACCATATGCATCCTAACACTACTACATAAAACAGTTTTAACGTTGGTTAAAATACCCCATTTAACGTCGGTTATCTTTCGACGTCGACTTTAGAGACGTAGTAAGTAAATGATACGGCGTCGGTTAAAAAATCGACGTCGTATGTTTTTTTAAATTAAATTAATTAACATACGACATCAGCTTTTAGGCAAAACCCGCCGTCGTATAGTATTTATTTTTAAAAAAATAATAATAATAATTAACATACGACGTCGGCTTTTAGGCAAAAGCCGACGTCGTATAGTATTTATTTTTTTAAAAAAATACTATACAACGTCGGCTTTTGCCTAAAAGCCGACGTCGTATGTTAATTATTTAAAAATAATAATAAATACTATACGACGTCGGCTTTTAGGCAAAAGTCGACGTCGTATAGTATTTATTATTTTTTTAAAATAATTAACATACGACGTCGACTTTTAGGTAAAAGCCGACGTCGTATGTTAATTAATTAAATTTTTAAAAACTATACGACGTCGGCTTTACCCTAAAAGCCGACGTCGTATGTTTTTTTTTTTTTTTTTTTTTTTTGTTTTATGGTTTCTACCCTAACCTGTAACATTTTTCAGATCCTGCGCAGCTAGCAATTTAACATTCAACATCAACTAATATAAAGAACATAATTCATTAAGCTAATTCAAGCTACTAAACATAAAACTAATATAAGTAACACAATTCAACAAAACTACTAAACATTAAGCCAATAAACATAAACTAATTTTAAACGTAAAGTATCAACTAAGAAGCGTTTTATTAACCCATTCATCAATAAGAAACTTAGACCATTTGTCTCTAACTTCATCAATCTCTTGTTTGTTGTAGGGCAATCTTCCTTGTCTTTCCAAAGCCTACAAAGTTCAAAAGAAATAAAATTAATTAATAAGCAAGTATTTTTAAACATTTGAATAAAAAATATATATTATGAAATTACTTGCCTTATCCATTCCTTTGCTTAGGTTGTTGGAAACAATTTCCAACATGAACTTCATCACATAATAACCACATTCGGTAGTTCCTTTTTGTATAGCACACTACATTTGAGTTACAATAAAATTAAAATAAATTAATAAAAAACAATAAGTTTGCATGTTTTACAAATTAAATGAAGTACTTACCGAACATATAGTCCATTTTGGTGAACGATTTTGTTTCTTTCCACTCATCATGTTTGTTGCAGTCATACACATATTAATATAAGACATAAAATATATATAAATACTTGGCATCACTAGTTTAATGATAACTATTAATTAATTATATAAATTTACATACGTTTTCATTATATGTTTAATGTCTTCACGCGGCCCATGACTAAGTGAATCAAACCAAAAAATTTCATTTAGTCCAGGACAAATCGCCATCAACATCCAATGCTCACTACAAATAAATATTTATTAGTTTTAAGTGAATATAATATATGATAAAATATATTATATATAAGTATTTTTATTTAAAACGTAATTAATACTTACTTGAGAACATATGGGGCTAAGTATACAAATTTCTTCCCAGACTGCATGGTGGCATTTATATACCATTTTCTTTCCTCCATATATTATTCATTTGTGGTTGAATCCAATATGGATCTAGGAAGCCATACGTGTTTTTTGATGCCATCTCAAAACTAATGTAAATACCCCTATTCACAAACACAACAAATTATATATAGATTACCAACTATATAAATATAAAACTATTATGAATAAATAATACTAAAGAACTTATTACCTCATAAAGAACTGAACTAGAGAAACATCGATGGTCTCCATTTTTAAGAAACGCATTATCTCATCACTTGCAAGGTGCAAGTCATGGTCAATGTTGCCCATAATACCACGAGCCACATGGACCACAAGATGGTGATGTTCAAAACGGCGAGCTATTGAAAATGTCTTTTTACATCCACCAGTCAAAGAATTTGGATCAGCTATAATGAATTGTTGATGTATGGATTGCACACCCGATTGACGTCGGGTATACCAAATAACCGACGTCATATGTATTTTTTTTTTTAAAAAAAATTTAATATTTAACGTCGGATTTTCTAAAAACCGACGTTATAATGGCGACGTTAAATTCATTTTCTGTAGTAGTGTAATGTCCAATTCAATGTAAAAAGAGTGGTGTGTGTATCAGTGTATGGAGTGTATTTGTCCAATTAATTTGTAATTTTATTTATTTTATAACACAATACCAAATAAGGATTATTTCTTTTAGTAATTACACATATTAAACTCAATTATATGTGGCTGTATCAACATTGAGTAATCTAGACGTATGGCTTAATAAAAGCTCATATGTATGGTACGGGAGGGGCAATATATGTACTGCTTTGAAAATTGAGGGGCAACATTTACACAACTAATAATTCAGGAGTAACATTGATAATTGACATATTATACAGGGGAATAAATTACAATTTTCTCTATATTATAATGTTGTTGGAAGAAAATCAAAGACAAGTAGGTATTGTATTATCTTTAGGTCTAAGAAACTTTAGATTGATTTAAGAACCAAAGCAAAACGTGACATTATTCATAGTTTAGCGATCAAATTAGGAGATGGCCGGAGGAGACGAAGCCGTGTCTACATGATAAGTCTCCCTAGTTTCTAAGTGGCATCCTTGCGGCGGAGGCACATCCACAGCCGGCGAGCACTTAAAGAATCCATGAGGCTGCAAGAATCAGTAAGTGTAGATTATTGTTGGAACCTGTTAGGATCAAGCTCTTCGTATCGAAGGCGTAACTTTATTTTATTATTATACGGTCACATTTTTCAGAGTAATCATTATTGTGTGGATCATGGTCCACACAAGTTGTATGGACCATATTTTGTATACCGTAAAATAATGTATATTCAGTACAAAAATAATGTACCTCTAATACAAAAATAATGTACATTGTATTCAGGGGATGTACATTATTTTTGTACTGAGGGTATATTATATTGTAAAATGTACATACAGTATAAAAATAAGAGTTAATATCATCTGAGGTCCTCCGAGTATAGTGGTTTTACCACGTTGAGTCCTAAACTTTCAAATTGACCATCTGTGGTCCTTCGACTTTTAAATTTAATCATCCATGGTCCAAGTTAACCACTCATGGTCCTTCAACTATTAAATTTTAACCAACCATGGTCCTTTCAAGAAGACCACGACTGGTTAAATTTCGAAACTTGAAGGACCATGGGTGGTTAACTTTGACCATGAAGGACCAAAACATTCAAATTGACCATCCGTAGTCCTTTAACTTTAAAATTGTTACCATCTGTGATCCAAGTAAACCACCCATGGTTCTTCAACTTTCGAAATTTAACTAGTCGCGGTCCTCCTAAAAGGATCATGGTGGTTAAAACTTGATAGTTTAGGATCATGGGTGGTTAACTTGGACCACACGGATGATTAAATTTGAAAGTCGAAGGACCACAGATGGTCAATTTGAAAGTTTAGGACTCAACGTGGCAAAATCACTATACTCGGAGGATCTCAGATGGTATTAACTCATAAAAATAATATACATTTAGTATATTAAAAATGTACTTTTTGGTATGTCCACATAACATTGTGTGGACCATGGTCCACACAATAATTTGCCTTTCCCGAGGCATTGGTGCTGGACTTGGCCCTTCGGTCTCTGTCCAACAATCCCTTAGCTATCTGGTGCCGGACTTGGCCCTTCAAGCCTCTGCCCAAAAATCCCCTAGTCACTTGGTGTTAGACTTGACCATCAAACCTCCGTCCAACAATCTCCAAATCACCCGGTGCTGAACTTGGCCTTTCAAGCCCCGCCTAACAATCTCCTAGTCACTTGGTATTAGACTTGGCCCTTTAAATCTCTGCCCAACAATTCACTAATCACCTGGTGCTGGACTGAACACTTCATCGACTCCCGCCAATAGAACCAGAATCAAGGACATATGGATTAAGGATTCAATAGGTACGAAAAGTACCTGGAGCATAAACCCAATATGTTCAACTGGCATGACAGGATAGTCTTCCAAGCGAGGAACATGCGTGATTCCAAAAACATACCACAGAACAATGTCAGTTTCTTCTAGACTGCGATCCTGTTTTACCCACGAAGGTAATCCCTCGCCCACACGCGGATTTTGATTCAGAAACTCCCCTCCTGGAAAATCTTCTCCCGGAGTATATTGAGTTACCCACAAATTGTGTTTCAAGAATGCAGCTCTTCTTAGAAACTTAGCCTTTGGACCAGCCATTGGCAAACAATTTGGACCTGGAACCAGCTTGTATCCGGTTGGTTGTCCAGTTCTATTCAGTGTCCTTGTGTTCCTCACCTACATAATATCACATGGTACATAAGATTCAAATTGTTATACGATGAACCAGGTTCATATTGCATTATTGTAAACTTTGATCCAAAAATTATATGTCTGCAATTAACACATTTTGTACTTAGCTTGCAGTTAACAATTTTTGTATCTATAAAAAAATTGAAGACACAAACGTGGTAATTACAGACACATAATATGATAACTACAGACACATAAATTGTTAACTGAATGTATAATATAGGTTAACTATAGGCACATAAGATGTTGGTTAACACGTCATGTGTCTGCAGTTAACATATTACGTATCTGCAGTTAATCGTTTTTGTGTGTGTAGTTATCCTGTGACAACTGTAGGTACAAAATCTAAAGGTTATTTTTGGATCATGGTCTACAATGCAAGGTAGACCTAATCTATGGTATAATTTTCCATATAGAGTTAATATAATTTGAATTCCTCCGAGTATAGTGATTTTGCCACGTTTAGTCCTAAACTTTCAAATTGACCACATGTGGTCCTTCGACTTTCAAATTTAACCATCCGTGTGGTCCAAGTTAACCACTCATGATCCTAAACCATCAAGTTTTAACCACCATGATCCTTTTAGGAGGACCGCGACTAGTTAAATTTCGAAAGTTGAAGAACCATGGGTGGTTTACTTGGATCACAGATGGTAACAATTTTAAAGTTAAAGGACTACGGGTGGTCAATTTGAAAGTTTTGAACTAAACGTGGCAAAACCACTATACTCAAAGGATCACATATGACATTACCACTACATCAAAAGGTATATCACGTAGGCACGTAGCGGAAGTGCAAATTTATTTCCTTAGAGCCAAAGTTGGACTTGGCCCAATGGCATTCGCCCAACAATTCCCCCTAGCAGTTCCTGTTAGGCTTGCTAATTCACCGACCTCTGTCCAACAATTTCCCTTGCACCTACCAGCTAATTAAGCGCTTACTATACTAGGCCAAAAGTTATAACTCATAAGAAAGATCCAAATTCATTTCTTTATACTGCCACATTTTTTAGAAGCAGGGTGCTGGACTTGCCCTTCAAGCTTCTCCCTAACAATCCCCCTAGCCACCTGATGCTGGATTTTGCCTTTCACCAGCCTATGTCTAACAATTTGTATACCCTAATTAACTAGCGTATTTGATCTTAACAATGGTTCTTACAATCCAATGGCGAGCTGAAAAGGGATCACAGTCACGCATTGCCTGCAATTCAGATCTAAGCAAAGTTTCCTGAGGATAGAATGCATTGTTGTGAACATTTTCATTCCCAGGTTCTTCAACCCTCACATTCACTTCAACCACCTATAGGTAAATGCATAACCAAGTAAAAAAAATTGTCAAACAATAAACCTGATCCACATGATAATGAGCTCTAAGCTAGCTTGCTAGAAACAAAAGCCTGATTGTGTGCTTCACCGGGCTTAGAATCCACAGCCATGTTCATGCGTGCCACAAAGAAGTGTTGATGAACCGGAGCATATAACCCCGGAGCAATCTCGGTGCCATATTTTCTTGATTCCCCAGGCTGCAGAGCTCCCATACTTAGAATTCCCGTAAGTTTAACTTCTGCCTCAATTTTCCCATCCTGTTAGTAAAGGCACATATATAAATACTTAGATTGTAAGATGAAATGGTTATATATAGGAGAGCAAGTACATTTTTTTTTAAAGAACTAAACATGCCTGGTAGAAATGCCAGTAGAATGCATATTCATAGTTAGCTATAGTGCATATAAAAGAAGCTGTGAGTCGCCTTGAGCGACGAACTTCAGATAAGCCTGTTCGCCAGTCTTGATGTTTCCAAAGTATTCCATCATCCTCTTCGTGCAAGCACACACAATTCTCAATTGTTTCAACCCCACCAGTGAAATTTGTAAAATGTGCATCGAAGTACTTAATATATCCCAAACAATCACATCCCTGAAATGGAAATTTTCTTTAATTTCTTGATTAGCTATTGCTCTTATTATATTGATCGAACTGGGAATTAAAATAGCGTGAGTTTAGGCAAATTATACCATGGATCAGGGTTCAGTTTGCATTGTAGAACCTGTTCTAAAATGACATCAAGATATGCACCTACAGTTAACATACTATGCGCTTGCAGTTAACAAATTATGTACCTATAAATAAATTAAATGTACATTATATTTAAACTGCTAGTATATAATTTATTAACTATATGCACATAATATGTTACATACATGTACATAGTATGTTAACTGCATATATATAATGTGTTAATTGTAATAGACACATCATTTATTAACTGAAGGTATATGTTAACTACATGCACATAATAATCTGAATGTTCCCTTCAGAAAATAATATTAATAATCTGAATGTCGTTTTGTATCGGGATCCAAAATACAAGTTGGACCCTAGTTCATGATATAACAATTGATTAATTTACTAACCCTTTTGAGTGAATTGGCATATTTCCCAAGCCCATCTTCTCCCGCATCAAATGCATTCTTCCTATAATGGGGATCATTTGGATCTCCATAAGGAACAACCAGTTCCACAAAGCTTAACCTGTGGGCTATGAGTCTTCGGCCTCGGCTACCATCAACATATGAAACACAATGTATGACTAAACCTTCTTTTGGCGTAAAACCAATCCTAAAGTTCCACTGTAAAACCATCAACATTTTGTATCAACAATAATGTGTAAAATGTGTATCAACAATTTGGGTAGATCATTAGATTTGAAGTAGGAACACAGTATTGAATCCTAACAATCGTAATAAGTATGCGAGTTACACTCAATATGATAAGTTTCTTGTGTACGTGCACTTGGTCTTTTCACCTAATGAGACACTAAGCTAAGCCACCATAATTTACTCCTTCATAACCTATCAGGTCAGCTAAGTCACCATAATTTACTTCTCCATATCCTATCAGATCGGGTGTGTGGGCGAGAAAGTTTTGCCTTTGTGAACAAATAATGTGCAAAATGACTAAAGACGAGAATTATTATATATCATACCTTTTGCCATTCTACATAGTTGCCATTAATGATAAAGCTAGGACCCTCCGGTTGAATAATATGCAGGGGTTTAACGTCACTGCGATCAATCCCTCCTCGTGTTTCACCGGCGGTGTAATTCCTAAATGGATCAACTGGCGGTAAGGGAACAAGTTTGCGGTCTTCAAACTCAATAATCTCCATTTTCTGCAAATCCACAAGCACATATATTCCTTCTACTGGCCTAGCATATCCATTTTCCATTGGGCAGTTGCTCTTTGTTTTGCAAAACACCAGTGGTTTAGCAAGCCTCCGACGAGGAGAATCTGCCTCACTAAAATAACCAGCACACCTGATGGAAAAAAGAAATTTTTTGATAGTTTGACGCAAAAAAACAAGAACAATATATAGTAGGGTTCCAATAAGAACGCATCGTCTGCATCCATCTAATACTTATATAAAGTGTGTTTATAAATAATAATGTTCATAGCCTCGGATGACTATATCCTAGGAGGAAACCAGCACTGCCGAAGGTGTGCGTTGGTGAGAATCGATTCTTGGTCATTCCTCCCAAACTTTACCTCTATGACCAGTTGAGCTGCCCATACAGACTAAACTAGCTTAAGTTCTCTTCACTTGTAACTTTATGATTACCAAATTAATAGCCTAAACAATTTCGCTGTGATTGCTCCAATTAAATAGAATTTTCACTAACCAAGGATCAACCATCACAAGATCCATATCATCAATGCCCCTTCTCATCATTGCCTCTATAAAAGGAGGATAACTTTTCATCAAAGCTTCACAATCAACATCCTCTTGAGAATCCTACAATAAAGAACAAACATTGATTGAAATCTAAACATGATCATATACAATAATCTGTACTCCAATCATACAAGGACAGAAAACGTACAATGGGTGGTTGAACATCTGGAATGACTTCGGATGAAATCACTTTTCCCTTGTCATGTCCATCCTGCACTTTAGCTAGCTCAACAATCCATATACTTGTCTCATTCCTTCTCTTATTGTAAAGGGTGAGCTTAGCTCGCCGTGGAGGAAGCTTATTCATGATTTCTGGTCCTTGGTGAGGTGAGAAGAAGTATGCATCTGCTAGTGCAACAACACTTTTGTTTGGTTCTAATAAAACCACCTCTATAAATCGAATGTCATCCCTTCCCTAAAATGGTAAGGATACGTTACTGGTGAAACAAATAACTATGATATTGATCAGTATTGATTCTTACTATATTTATATCTGCATATTTAACATCAAATTCGTATGACTTTGTGCTACATTATTTGATTCATGTGTGTCATTTAGATGATTGAGAGGCACTAATTGTAAAATCACGTAAATTCAAGTTCAATAATTACTTGTATTTTGAAGTCATATTAGCACAAAGTCGTATTCAAGAGTCGTGGTTAATGAAGTGAAATACATAAAGTTGAAAGTACCATGACATAATCCAAGGACCCAAAGGAGCAAAAGAAATAAATAAGAATGCATTTTAGAGTAAGGACCAAGCATCACACTAACGGTCACGATCGTGACAGCCAGCGTGACAAACTCTGCTCTGTTAGGCAACATTTTGGTAATTTAATTATATCTCGACCTTGGAATGTCCAAATCAAGTGACTTCAGAGGCATTGGAAAGATAACTCAAAGATATACAACTTTTATGAATATCACAAAGTCTAATTCGAACGTCTATATGGTGCAAAATAGCTTAGAAACAAGAACTGTTGTGCATAGTATAGTCGTCATGACCGGCTCCATGATGTGATGTTCGTCATGATCGGGCCTTGCATTTTGCAAAAATACGCAACTCCAGCTACTATAAAAGTAAATTGGAAGTTATTTTTAAGTGGAATTTGGATATATTTCACTTTCTATACCTTCTCTCTAGCTTCTCTCCACTTAGAATAGGGTCAGATTATATTTCAAGTCAAGATTGCAATTCAATTACTACTTCAATTCAATTAGCTTGTATCTTCAATTTACATTGACCAAAGCTAATTTTTCATTACCTAAATTTCAATTCTTTCAATTTCATTTGTGGTTTCAAATATGGAATTTCATTGTGCTTTTACTTTGCGAGTAAAATAATGAATAGTTTGATTTTCTATGGGATTTGTATTGAGCTTTTTGTTGTGTTATAGATGCTTCGTGTTATTATGAGTTCAATTGCATAAAGGGAGGATGCATAAAATTAGCTAGGGTTTTTATTGTAGATATAGACTTAGTCCTAGCCTACTAGGGCAGAGTGATGTGAATTGATAGAATCGGGTCTAGAAGAGGATCATTGTTCATGATGAGGATATGGGTCATGCCAAACATACCCCAATTATTTATTCTTGCTACACATTTTGATAATGAAATAGAAATACTTTGACAAATTGTAACTCGGAATGTGCTAGCTTAAAATTTAATGGGCTAGCTTGATAACCTGAGCCAGTTAAGGCTATTCTTTGTTACAGAAGTTATGTAGAACAAAATATACATCAAGTTTATCTGCAAACTCATCTTTAGTATTTTTTTTATTCAATTTTAAATAAAATTTTAATAAATATATTACAAAACTAGTAATTGTCCCGTGTGATACACGAACTATTATTAATTTAACAAATTTACCAATTAAATTTTTGACATCCTCTAAATTAGCAAAGAAAGTAATGGTTGTGAAAAAAAAAAAATGTATTTGAGTTCTTGAGCTCAGAATTAGTTTGATTAAAAATGTAAGTATAACTATACAATGTAATATTTAATATTTTTAAAAATTTAAGTATACTATTATTATGTTGACTTTAAAGTTGACTGTTACTTGTATTATTATTTGATTTTGATTTTTTTTAAAGGAATTTGAATTTGAAACAACTACTTTAATTATATAATTAACGTATTCATTTTCAAAAAAAAAATATAATTAACGTATTTAAATAAAACTTGTAAATAAAATAACATGTGATATTTGTCAAAAATCTCCACAAAAAAATTATTAATTTGAAAAAGATTATTTATGTAAGAACTATATTTATTTTATCTCTAATTTCTCCACTTCATATATGTGGAGTCAAATTAATTATAATTGAGGTTTAAATGAATATATACACAAATTATATTAAATATAAAACTTTACCAATAAATTTGAACACAATAAACTTTTTTCCATACTTCATTATGCTTTAATATATATAGAGAGATAGAGATAGAGATAGAGTTATAATAATAAAATATAATTTATAAAACATAAATACACATAATAACTTCAAAAAATTATGTATAAATACATCTACCCACACAATTAATGCATTCATACTTGCTAATCTTGTTTCTATCAAAATGCATTCACACTTTGGAGGGAAAATTATGTTGCTAGATTCTGCTTTATTATATATAAAAAGAAAAGATAAAATATTTTTATAAAAATAAATAATGAAAAATTAAAAACTTACTATAAATATTATATTATAGTGTAAGTATATTAATTAATTATAGTTAGAATTTGGAAATGGGGGTTTAGATTGATCGATGATGTAGAAGTTTATATTTATTTGTGTAAATGCATTAGTTTATTAAAATTGAAAGTTTATAATGTTAATTTCAAAATGTAAAAGTTTTAGTTAATCTCCTCGGATAAGCTTGACAGCCTGAGGTTTTACGGTTAGTCCAAGATTAGTTTTGAACCCTACAAAAAAATGATTAGCACGAACCGATAAACACGACAACATGATCGGGCTAGCCCAAGGCTGTACAGACTGGTCGGATTGATATCCCTAATTGGTACCTCAAGAAACTAATGTTGGAAAAATTAACTAAAATTGACATTATTTAAAGTGGTCATTTTGTGTTATCATTTTTATGGGGGTTCACTTCAAATTTGGGTCACGTCAATGGTGATTTGGATTCTCTTAAGTGAGGGGTTTAATTTGATATATTTACACTCAAAATAGATAATATGTAAATGAGAAATTGGTTTTCGATCAAAGTATATCCATTTGAATTTGGAAAATAGAGTTGGAAGGACGACTTTAAGTATTTTTTTTGTCCCATACACATTGAAAAATGGATGTAAGTTAGCGCTAGTGTATACAATTAAAATTTGTAAATAATTTGATTTGTATAGTATATAGGTTCCCTCGTTGGCGTAGATCGAAGAGCAATAGCTAGCAGAATATATGTGATTCCCACACCTTGATTATTCAAACTTAATTTTATTTCTAATTTTGTGAAAAGGAGAAATCACCATTTTGGTCATTCAATTGTTTCTCAACTGTTAATGTAGTTCATAGTTTTAAATTTCAACAAATTTGATTCTCGAATTGTTTAAAATTTCGTCAATTAAACCCTTCGAGAATCAAATTGAAATTTTAAAAATAGGAAAATCACCATTTTATTTTGGTCCCTCATAAGAGTTTAATTGACGAAATTTTAAACAATTCGATAATCAAATTAGTTGAAACTGAAAACTAAGAACTACATTGACGTACAGTTCGGAAACAATTGTGAAAAATAAACTAGCTAGAGAGTGAATTCCTTAAAAACTATGTCAAATACGCCACTTATTTTAGGATAGATATAGATCAGAGTCGGGGCTAGATTTTGGGCTATGCAAGCTGAACTACAGTACATGGCCCCAAATTTTAGAGGCCCAATATTTAATTTTTACCTAACTAGTTTAGAAATAAAAACTAAAAGTTTTCAATTAAACTTAAAAGGTTTTATAAAGAAAGGGTAGGAATGTGTTTATGTTATTTTAACTTGGAGGTTAGAGGTTTGAAATTTGTGTGCTGCTCCAGCTTTGGACATCTCTCTATTTTCTTAATACTTTTGAATCATCAAACTGCACACGATAATGCAATTAGGTCATCTAAAAAACCAACCATTGGATCCCTAAACTAACCAATTTCAAACAATTTTTCCAATTTGCAAGTTTCCAACATGTCATTCTCCCAAATTAATTAATTTTTAAAAACTAAATTTCAAAAATTAGTCATTTAAATAAATAAATAATAATAATAATAATAAAGAAAAAAACTCCGGCCAGAGCCAAATAAACCTTCTTTGTCTCCACGACCGGGGACAAAGAGTTTCTTCGTCTCCATGGGCGGAGACGAAGAAGGTTTCTTGGTCTCTGGCCTTGGAGACGAAGAAACTCTTCGTCTCCACGGCCGGAAACGAAGAGTTTCTTCATCTCTGGCCATGGAGACGAAGAAACTCTCTTCGTCTCCATGGCCAGAGACGATGAAACTCTTCGTCCCCGCCGTGGAGACAAAGAAGGTTTCTTCGTCTCCGGCTGGAGTCCTGGTTTTTGTTTTTGTTTTGCTTTTTTTTTTCATTTAAATAATTAATTTTTAAAATTTATTTTTAAAAAATAATTAATTTGGGAGGATGACCTGTTGACTTGTTGGAAACTTGCAAATTGGAAGAATTATTTAAAATTGGTTAATTTAGGGACCCAATTGTTAATTTTTAGATTCAGTGGTCTAATTGCATTATCGTGTGCAGTTCGATGGCCTTATAAGTAATAATTGTTTCCTTATCCTTATAAGTAATATATATATACTTTTTGTTATGGTCCACACAGCACTGCGTGGATCATAGTCCACACAATAATTTGCTCATTGGCACAAAACACAAAATTAAAAAAAAAAAAAAAAAAAAAAAAAATCACAAAATTTTAAAGATTTGAATATAACTGTGACGAAGCACAGTTTTGGATTTTTGCATAAATAAGCCTATCTATTTATTTATTGGAATCCCACCATCTGGATTTTGAGACAGACTCCCAAATCATTTATGTGTATCAATAATTGAGAATTTCGTCCACCTACGTCGTGATCTACGTGCTATTCTTCATCTTCCTCCAGTTGTCCCTTTAGTTTTATTTGTTTAGGCATGTTTACAAAAAATATTAAATAATACAAAAAATTAAATCAATTTTGCTAATATTTTCCAACAAAAATTTGTATTATTTGCTAGCCTACAAATACTACCTAAGTACCTAGAAGTGCTTTAGGTGAAACTGATGTTAGGTCAAAGAACCACAATAAAGTAAATTAGCTTACGTTATTCACATGAAGTCAAAATTGAAATATTATAATTATCAAATCAATTGTTTAACTAACTCAGTAAGAGTTACCAAAAAAAAAAAAAAAAAAAAAAAAAAAATTGTATTCTTGTT